CGACGTTGCGGATGACGGGTGCGGGCCTCGGGATCCGACGCACCAAGTCGGATGGTTCCTTTAAGGGTTCCTTTGAAGGGTAGTGTAGGGTTCCTTGAAGGGTTCCTTTGAAGGGTAGTGTAGGGTTCCTTGAAGGGTTCATTTGAAGGGTAGTGTAGGGTTCCTTTAAGGGTTCCTTTAAGGGTAGTGTAGGGTTCCTTGAAGGGTTCCTTTGAAGGGTAGTGTTTGGTTCCTTGAAGGGTTCCTTTCAGGGTACTGGTTGATGTAAGGGGTTTAAAGGTTGGTGGGGCTTAGGGTTTAAGGTGTGGCTCAGGGTTAGGTGGTTTTGAGGTTCAGAATTTTGGATTTGCGGTGCTGAACCTTTTAGTTTCAGGTTCGGGGCTTCAAGTTGAGAGGGTTTAGGGTTTAGGGCTTAGGGGAGAGGGTTTGAGATTCAGGTACCCTAAACCCTAAACCCTATATTGAGATTCAGGTTTTGGAGTTTAGGCGCGGAGCTTTGGGCTTGAGGCTCAGAGTTCGGGTCGGTTTCGGCGCTGAGCTTGGGATTCATGCGTGAGGCTTACTTGGAGGTTCCTGGGTAGTTATAAATGGGGTTATAAGTCCCCTAATATGGGTTATAATTACAGTTACCCTACTTAGAACCCCACTTATATCTACCCATGAACCTCCAAGGACCGCATTGGTTTGAGATGTTGCAAGCTGTATACGACTACATAGACGAAGTGCCATGCACAGATTTCAACTCTCAGTTCTGGAATGTGAAGACTTTGTGCCAAACCCTAAACCCTAAACCCTAAACCCTAAACAAACTTTACATGCTAGACAGACGACTATCCCATAAAGACGACTCCTTGTGGTCTTAGTTTCTAGGCAGACGGCTCTGAGGGTATGACATGACACAAGATTTAAAGTACATGCCCTCGCCCAGTACAGTACTTAAGTTTTGAGATTGAAGTTGGGCTTACCTCTGCAGAGGTTCAACGCCATGTCGCCGCGATGCTTAGTTATACCAGGGGACACGAAGGAATAACATCACCCAGTCCTACAAAGGCCGTGAAAAACACTGCATAACCCTATGAAGCTCTATAAAGTTTGTAACCATGAAACCCCTAAACCCTAAACCCTAAACCCTAAACCCATATATATATATATATATAATACAGCCCGCGAAAAGCAGATAAAACCTCCATTGGATCGCAAAGCCTTCAACCCCAAGCGCTAGTTTCCGGGTGTCGAGCTTAGGGCCTCGGGGGGGTTGGAGGGTTTAGGGTTTAGGGTTTAGGGTTTAGGATTTAGGGTTTAGAGTTTAGGGTTTCGGGTTTAGGGTTTAGGGTTTAGGGTTGGGTTTGCAGTGGGATTTGTTGGTGTTTAGGGTTGAGGGATCTTGACGCCCGAAATCCTCTAACTACAATCGCTGTCTCTTCCACACAAGCCGCGGCACATGGAGGAGGACTGGTACCTGAGCCGCGGGGGAAGTGGGGTTCCGATGTAGGTCGCATGTAGCGTTGTAGGACAAGGGTTCCTTTCAGGGCTCCTGTAAGGGTTCCTTTGAAGGAACCCTTGCAGGAGCCCTTAGTTGGTTTGGGTTTGAGGAACGAAGCTCAGCAGCCAAGGTTTTTGAATTATATGCTTATATGTTGTTAGAATATGATTTATAACATACTACAGGACAAAGTACGGAACATAATCACAAACTGTAACTGAGAGTCCAGAGAGATGTAGGTTTGGGAACCTGTGTTGAAAGATGTTGAAAGTGTGAGGCTGAGGGTTTGCCAAAGGTCTACTTGGAGCTTCATGGGTAGTTATAAGTGGGGTAAAACGTCCCCTAATATGGGTTATAACTATAGTTACCTTACTTATTATAACCCCACTCATAACCACCCATGAACCTCCAAGTAGCCATCAAGTCCATCAGGCGAAGGAATCGAAGAGCTAGTTGGGCCCAACAGCTGGAGCGCAGGGCTGCTTAGGTCTTGGCAGTCGGGTTCAAGTTACGATTATCTCCCCAAAAAGTTGGAAACCGGATTAAGGACAATTAGGGCTGGGATTCATTACTCTCAAGTTTTGAGGCTATTGGGTTTCCAACTTTTGTGCTTCTACTATACTATACCAGGGCGTAGGATTCAAGATGAGCCGGTGTTCTCAAAATGACAGTTTCAAACAAGTGTATAAGGTCCTTTATCAGATTATACTGTTGTATTTTATTGTAAAATTGACCTTAAGAATTACATTACTGTATACTCATACTATTTGTTGTTGTATTATACTGTATTATACCATAGAAAGTTACCTAACATTATATTCTGTTATATTGCTATAGTATAGTAGATAAAGGTGTATCACATTATAGTATATCATACTATATTATAGTATACTATATTGTATGAGGTTATGCTATATTACACTATAGTATAGTCTATCATATTATACTGTATTGAATGATATTATTTTGCAGAATGTATGTATGTATGCATGTACATATGTATACATATACATATATACATATACATATATATATATATAATCCTGAAGACTAGGATCGTTATGATAAAGAACCCAAGTAGCTCGGCACACCAAACAAATTGTCCGATCCTGAGCCTCAGACTGCATGGTTTTGAGTTTGTGTATCCGGTCGGTGCCGGTTGCGAGGACGACCCACAGGGGCCTGGGCACGGTTTAGGGTTTAGGGTTTAGGTTCTTAGGGTTGAAGAGAGTGAGGTTGTTCGGAGCCCAGTCTTATAGACGGCGCAGATATCCCTAAAGTCCTAAAGCCTTAGCCCTAAAAGAAGAATGCAGGATGCCACTTCTGCCTTACTCTTCGAGGTAAACGGCGTGCGACCTGGGTTCAGGAAGTTCAGACAACCGCCTGCACACCTTCTTTTCCGCCTGCAGAAATCCAGAAAACGCCTAAAGCCTGAACCCTAACCGGAAAACCCTGCCGGTTCCCAACTCGTCGACTAGCCAAAACGCATCAGGCCAGACTCTAAGTCCCAAATCTGGTATAGCCTTCGGTTTCGGGTTTAGGGTTTCGGAATTAGGGTGTAGAGCTATGTTTAAAGCCCCTCCTGGACCTCAATATCCTTGCACCATCGCCTTTCACTATGCCCGTGAAAATCTAAACTTTAAAGGGTTTAGGGTTATAGGGTTAGGGTTTAGCGCTTACGGTTAAGGTTTAGGGTTCAGGGTTTAGGGTACTAGAGGCACAATGAAGGCACAAAAAGCCTCTTGCAGCAGCTGGTGCCTTGAACAGGAAAGGTGAGTGAGCGGTAACAATGAAGCCATAGCCTACTCTGTTTGAAGGTCTGGTCCCGCGGTCACACAAGCAGGATAATGATTGTGGGGCGAATTATACTGGAGTCGTTGCGGAAACCCTGAACCCTCAACCCAACACTGCGAAGAACTGTCAGTGGGATGAGCCGTCCTGACATGTCAGTCGAGTGACGATCAGCTCACCACTTCAGGTCTACTTGGAAATTCATGAGTCCTTGCAGGTAAGGTTAGCCAGAGAGCCCGAAAAACTGTGTAAAGTATACTCCTTATTTCAACGTGATCTGTTTCTCTTGGTATAAGAAGGGTAACCCTGCATAACTGCGTAGAGCTCCAAGTCAGGCACCTGTGACGGGTCACCACCCATGAACCTTCAACTCCAAACACTAAATCCTAAACGCTACAGCCTGAACCCTACACCCCCAAACCCTATGTACCCAGACCCTAAACCCTATACCCTAAAACCTATACTCCAAAACCCCAAACCCTCAAAAATCCTACACCCCCACGAACCCAGAGACTCCAAAACCCCTTAATTAAGGAATATACCTTAAATCATATGAGGACTCCTATTATAGTTTAAGGTATATTCCCTAATTAAAAGGTTTCGGAGTCTCTGAGAAGTCAGCCCCACTTCCCCTAAACCCTAAACCATAAACCCTAAACCCTTAAACCCTAAACCCTAAACCCTTAAACCCTAAACCCTAAACCCTAATCCCTAAACCCCCACGCACTCGTAAGCCTATCCGCCCAGACCCTGAGCCCAAGACCGAAGCTCCAAGCAATACAAAGAAGCCCACGGTTTAGGGTTTAGGGTCTTGGCCTTAGGGTTTAGGGTCAAGGGTCTAGGGTTTCGGGTTTAGGGTTTAGGGTCTAGGGTCTTTAGGGTTTGGGGTTTAGGGTTTAGGGTTTTGGGTTTAGGGTTTAAGGTTTAGGGTCTAGGGTCTAGGGTTTAGGGTTTAGGGTTTGGGGTCTAGGGTTTAGGGTATTGGGTTTAGGGATCAACCCGTTTAGTATCATTTACTGTAGTATAGTAAAGTAAAGTATACTATACTTTGCGGCACTATACTTTACTATACAATAGTATATTATACTGTATTGTATTATATTTTACTATACTGCACTACACTACACTATACTATACTTTCGATAACCTCCGACACTACACTTTCTCTTCCGGTCTTGAATGTATTGAATGTAGCCCCGGCTCAGGGCGCGGCGGAAGCTGCCAAGGAGAGGCAACGCAATCACTGAGAGCCAAACGGCCCGGAAGAGCACGCGTGTCTTTGAGCTTCTATGTTTAGGAAGATCTCTCTAAGGGTTGTTTACAAGAGGGGCCTCCTACCACCATCACCATTACTTGCTTTATTGTCGCAGTCACCGTCAATTGTGGGAGAAGCAGGAACCGGAGTGGTTCAAGCTGCAGCAGCAACATAACTGTGAAGATGATGATGATGATCATGATGGTGATGATGATGGTGATGATGATACCAGGCGGCAATCGATGCAGCCTGACGCAGCCCTTGGGCTGTCAAGCTAACCCTATGGTACTCAAAACCCGAAACATCTTCCGAAATGTTTTGGGTGCGGGTGTCCCCTGTGCCCGAAGCGAAAAGCGGGGGTCTTGATGAGCTAGATACACTGTTGAGTTTGAGTCTTGGAAGTCGAAACTCTCTGTCTAGGCATTCGCTTTGAAGCTTGCAAAGTGGGCAATCAAGCCGACTGCTTTCTTCCGCTCCAACATAGCTCTTGCCAGTCGGCTGGCGCCGCGCCTGCCGGATTTTGGCTTGCAGGTCCAGGACGCCTGAGCACCACCCGACCAAGCGGGACTGCTTGCAAAGCCCGGATCTAGAAGGCCATGAACTGCAGGCCGCATGCTGCAGGGCGCATCCCGAGAAACAACCATGCTTCTGCCAGCACGTGAGACAAGGTTCCGCAAGGACAGACCCCAGGCCGGCATCTCATGACGTGGTCAATCAGCAACAACCGACAACACTCCCAAATTCTGGAACTATGCAAGTCCAAATGCAGGGAAGTGCGTGTACGTCTCTGCCTGATCTGCTGCTGCTCTTGATGCTGACGTGGCGGTGCCGGCTATGTCACTGCCATGGCACGTTCCTCCTCATCAAGGCTCTCCCAGGAGCTGTCCAGCAGGTTCACAACCGAAAAGCCACAAGCACGGAGGTATCTCCTAGGATGCTGGATGCTGCAACTTACGGTTTGAGGGGCTCGGATTCCGTTTTAATTCAAACAATCAAGTTTCCGGCGACCAAAGATAACTACCGGGACTGTGCGAAGGCTGCAGCTGACAGTTTGCAAACTGTCTCGCTCACAAACTCGATGCTGGAGCAACAAGATCTACACCACTTCAGCCGCAAGCACTAAACCAAAACCCCTAGACCCAAAAACCCGAAAACACTTATAACCGTCAGGACGAGTACACATGACCCATGACCAAGACCTACATCCCGAAAACTACGCCAGACTTCTGCGGCAAAGTTCAGTGCAAACACGGTTCTGCCGCAACAAAAAAATTCGCACAAAACCACCCCCTGGCATACACATTGGGAGCTTTAGGGGAATGATGCTGAGACGCGGTCTAGGGTTTAGGGTTTAGGGACCATATAAATACTTCTTCTGAGGCTCCTTTGACTAAGTCTGAAGCTGAGGCCTGCTAAACTTCACGTTCCAGCGTTAGGGTTCAGGGCTTAGGGTTTCGGGGTTTAGGGTTCAGGGTTAAGGCGTTTAGGGATTTAGGGTTTAGGGGTTTAGGGTTTACGCAATCCCGAAAAAAAAAAAAGAGTCAGGGCGTCATCCTGGTGTGTAGCGCTTCAGAGAATTATAAGTCCTAAACCCTAGACCCCTAAACCCTCAACCGAAAACTCCAAATCCAAGCCAAACCCTAAACCCTAAGCCCCTGAACCCCCCCAATCTCCTTAACCCCGGAATCCTAAACCCGAAACACTAAAGCCTAAACCCTAAACCCTACACCCCTGAACCCGAAAGCCCGATCTTCTGTGTCAAAGACATGGTGCTGCTTCATCATCGTCTGCCCCAGCGGGTCCCCAGTCAGGAGATGCAAAGTGCGTGGGGCGCTGTGGTATTGGATGGCTACCTAACACAGTAGGGTAGGGTTTAGGGGTTGGGGTTTTAGGGTTTAAGGGTACCAAGGCAATGAAAAGGTTTCGAGTTTGGGTTTAGAGATCGTCGGGTTTAACTAATGTAGGTGCCTTAATAATTAGAATAACGTTTTGGGTTCCATTATGCTATAATTAGAATAAGGAACCCCCGAAATAATATAGGTAATTACTAAGGCCCCTATATTAGGCTTTAGGGTTGCTCTGGGCTTGGCGTTCCGAGGCTGCTGCTTCGGGGCTTTTTTGGAGTGGCGGGCGTTCGGAGGGCAGACCCTGGAGGTCCCAGCGGGACCTTGCGCTACCGGTATCCACTTCGTTTGGGTTGCCATTTCCATTAGGATTTAGGGTTTAGGGGTTTAGGGGTTTAGGGGTTTAGGGGTTTAGGGGTTTAGGGTTTAGGGTTTAGGGCAGTCCCAAGCTTCAAGGCTCATGGCTTGAGGATGGAGGATGGGCTATCAATCAGGGGTCCACTGTGTTCCTAAACGTGCTGCCTGAATGACCGAGCTGTTTCACTGCCCGTAGCAATGACGGTAGACGGTCGACAGTCGGATGGCATGCATGAAGCACCAGCTGTCTACTGGCTCTTATGCCTGCATTCTCTTCATCAGGAAGCTGCCAATGATAAGATGTTCGGCAGGAGTCTGAACCACTCGCATCTTTGCGCTAGCATAGAAGCCTTGAGCATAGATTCGTGGCATACACTTGAAAACCCTCGTCTGTGCAGACTCAGCCCGTAACATAAACCCCGATATCCTGAACCCTAAACTTAAACTCCCATAAGCCTATGTGCGAAAGTTTTCACCTTGCTGCTGCCCAAAGGGCAGGCTTCGGCAAGCAGGCATCCGCCGCGGAGATCACGACATCCACCACATATCCGTCCACCTCTGCATGAGCCTGCTCGCGGTGGCTTTAGGGTTTAGGGCTGGGACTTTAAGGCTCAGCAGCTTTCTAAAGCTTACGGTGCTGGCGTCATGGTGCAGGGCTCAGGGCGTCGGGCTCAAGAAAACTGTGTGAGCAAGCGATGCTCTTTACTGCGTTACCTCGTTCTTGAGACTTCAATGCCAGTCCTCCAGCCGAACAATCAATCAATGTTGTCAGCAATGCCAGCGGTCCTTGCCGCTAGCTCTCGTTGCAGCAGCAGAAGCAAAGCAGCTAGTTTTAACTGAAGTTTGTCGTTGTCGTTGTCGTTGTGGTCGTCGTCGTCGTCGGAGCGTAGTCGTAGTCGTTCTGATGGGTGCAGTCTCGTAGTCGCAGTCACAGCAATAGTCGTAGTCGTAGTGGCAGTCGTAGTCGTAGTAGTCGTCGTCGTCGTACTCGTACTATTATGAATTAAGATGAATTAGGAGTAGCAGTAGTAGCAGAAGTAGTCGTCGTCGTAGTCATAGCAGTAATAACTATCTCAGTAGCAGCAGTAGTTGTTGTAGTAGTAATTTAACAATAGCAATAATAACAATAGTAGTAGACGTCGCCGTCGTCGTCGAACAAGCACAGTTTGCCGGCCTCTCCACGCATACCCAGTGCATCCAGCGCTTTGCGGATTTCCTCCACGGGCTGTGTGGGTGCAGCGGCACGCTGCTGGAGCGCCCGGAAGCTCGGCTGCACGTAGCTGAGGTATCTACCTTACATGAACGCGTCAAAGCTTACACCCGAACCCGGCCCGCACAGAGTAAGATTTCGTCTGGAACCTTGGAGGCCCAAAGACAGCAGCTGACGCCGAGAATTCACCCGAGCTGCCCAAACCCTCAGGATCAATCTCCGGAAAGTGGATCTTGATGTCCTGGTTTAGGGTTTAGGTAGGGTTAGGGTTTAGAGTTTGGATCAATCTCCGGAAAGTGGACCTTGATGTCCTCAGGGACTCCTAGCACTGTCGCGGCTCGGGGCAGGACCGAAACCCGAAACCCCAAACCCGAAGCCGGGAGTCGCCAGAGGCCCCGAAAGCTGCAAATCTTAGAGTTGGCTTAGGGTTTAGGTTTAGGGGAAAGTTTAGGGTTTAGGGTTTAGGGTTTAGGGTTTAGGGTTTAGGTTTAGGGTTTAGTTTGCTCCGGGAGCAACCTTAGGGTTTGATGTTGGAGTATCTGCGCATGAGGAGCGATTGATGATGGTGATGCTCACAATGATGACGATAGTCTTCAAACTGGTGCTGCTCGTGTTTGTTCGAGTACTGGCCACGCTCTTCATGTTTGCAGTAGTTGATGCGGCTGGCTGCTGTGGTGGCTGCTGGTGCAACTGCTCCTGCTTTGACTACGACTACCACTACCAATGTGGCTGCGGTTTCGGCTCCTGGGATTCGGACTAGGCCAAGGACTGCAACTACGAGCAGGACTAGGACTACGACGACGACAACCAGCACGTCCACATGCACCACCAGCTCCACTGCTACCATTACCAGCACCACCACCAGGACCACGACCACTACCGCTACCTCTAGTGCCACGACGACGACTTTGCCTACTGCTGCTACAAATAACACTACCACGACTACTGCGACTGCGACTACCCCACTACAACTACAGCAGCAACCGTCGAAGTTGCGGCAGTACCTCCTAAATCCCCACATCAGACACCCAAACTTCTCAGAGCCCAGAACCCGAACGTCTTCAAGACCTTATCACCCTTCAGCCAGGCGGGTCCAGAAGTGCCGGGCACAGCATCGCACCTCGATTCGGGGTGAGGGCGAGGGTCTTCAAGTTTCGGAAAGCAAGTAACCACTACGATAACCACCCTAAAGTGAAAAAGAAAAGATGCGCAGTTCAAGGCGCAGGCATCGCGGTATGTTCTTATGACGACTTCACAAGCCCTCACGGCCTTCACAGCCCTGCAAGCTCTCTGCCGCCCGGGAACAACGTGCATTCCCGGCCACCGTGCTTGGGGAAAGGACCCCCAAGAGAGCCTGAGCCAAGCTCAGTCGAACTTCTTGTAATGACCCTCCAGCATCAGCATATTGCCCATGATGGTCTTAGTGTTATCATCACCATCCACGATATCTTAAGTGTCACCCCAGTCACCATCTTCACAACGCTCATCACGCCCATCGTGCGCATTACCAACAAGCATCATGATCATCACGACAATCGTCCGTACACCAAATCCAGGGAATCAACGCAGAAGCGCCAGAGGTGTTAAGTAGCGACATAGTAAAGTAGCCCAAAAGTGGTCGTTGCCTTTGTGGCTGTGGTAATAGTGGTGATGGCTGTGGTCAGTAGGGGTAGAAGTAGTAGTAGTAGTAGTAGTAGTAGTAGCAGCAGCAGCCGCCGTCGTCGTCGTCGTCGCCGTCGTCGTCTTCGTCGTCGTCGTCGCAGCAGCAGCAGCAGCAGTAGTAGCGGTAGTAGTTGTCGTCGTCGTAGTAGAGGTAGCAGAAACAATGGGAGAGGGAGGCAGAGGATAAGGAGGGGAGGAGTGATAGGAGGACGATTAAGAGTAGCACATTAACAGAGCTGGAGTTGCAGCTACTGTTGTTAGTGTTGCGTCGGCGGTGGTAGTGGTATTGGTAAAAGAAATAGAAGCAGTGGCAGCAGCAGCAGCATTTTTCGCAGCACCCTGAGCAGCAGCGTCAGCAGGAGTAGGTTGGGTATCCATAGAAGCACATGAGAAACTATACCTCCACTTCCAAACGACTCAGCACATGGAGCCCGTGGCACCTTGAAGAAGTGGGGATCTCTGTGGCGCAGCGCGCAGTAGGCCTTACAATACCGAGAGCATGAAAAGCATGGATGTAGGGTTTGGGGTTTAGGGTTTAGGGTTTAGGGATGACTTCAGAATTACAGTTGGCCTGTCAGGGAGCGGCAGTGTCATCCTCGCAATCGTAACAGTCTGAATCTACGGTTCTCTAATACTGGTACTGTGCCAACCGCCTTCCCAACGGTTTTTGGAAAGCGCTTCGGGCGTGCGGGCTTGGAAGTACTGGGTTTGGGTCTGTGCTTCAGGGCTATGGGATCAAGGTTTACTCGGGCCTAGGCCTAGGGCCTAGGGTCCATAAGATACTTGATGAATGTCGGGGCCTTAATAATTAGAATAGGGTGTTGGGGTATACTATACTACAATTTGAAGAAGGAACCCCCAAAATAGTGAAGGTTATTAGAAGAAAGGCCCCTAGATTACCGATCTTTAAGTTTGTGCCCTTAGCTTCCCCCCCCCCCCCCTTTCAGGCTCTGAGC